AAGAGCACCCTGATAGCCCATACAAGGCCTTCGTGAACATGAGGAAAGGGCGCCTTTTCCTCAGGCAGACGCTGCCCCATCGCCAGGGCACACGTTTGGGCTGCAGAGCAGAGACTAGACTCCAGGCCTCCTGAGGGGTAAGCCTTGGGCAATGCTCAAGGAGATCCAGGGGTCTGCTTGCCTGGAGCTAAACCCGGAACAACCGTCTCTCTCTTCCACCAGCCTGGTCCTTTGCTGCAATGGGGTCCCCTTCCCAGCTCCTGACCTCCAACCCATAGTCTGCCCTTCACCCAGGTGCCCTCTGGGCCCCAGATCCACCCACACGCCCCCTGGCCCCCTGACCATGGCTTTTACGTCCGCAGGCCTCTTCTTTTCTCAGTTCCGCTGTCTCCTAAGGGTGGGGACCAGGGCTGTGGGGGGGTGGGGGTGGGGTAGGGGAAAGGTTTCATCCAACACCACATCCTGTTTATGCCCATTCTGGGACAACTGTTGCAGAGGGCTCCTCCCCCTTCTTCCTTCCCCTCATCTGCCAGGACCTCCCAGCCTTTGCAATCACCTAGACCAGGATTCAAATGGTGCCTTGCTGTGTGACCTTAGCTAGATAACTTTACCCCTCTGATGCAGGAATTTTGTGAGGACAAAAATAGCTTCACATGTCTTCCGGTATGGTGGACACACTCAATACACGGTAGATAATAATGAGCTCTTTAGCTCCTCCCCTCCTCCAGGAAGCCTTCCTGGATTCCCACCCCCCCACCTCATCTAGAATATTTTAATTCCAGAGCTGAAAAGGGGAGCTTAGAGATGTTTGCTGGTCAAACTGCCACCTATTATGTTGATGGAGAAAGGGAGATAAGAGAGTGGACGCCCCAGCACCCAGGTAATGGTGATTTTTTTTTTCCTGGAGTTATGCAGCCTCATGGGCTTTATAATGGGCCCGACAACAATGGTGTTAAATCTTGTCAGACCAGTACTCCCTCTTATTAAGAGTGTTTTGTATTGTTTCCTGTCCTATCCTGAAATGAAATTCCTAGATAATGTAACCTACTTATACACATAAATTTTAAAAAGTTCAATATAATGTCCTTGCTGTCATATAAAGGAGATTTTTAAAAAGGTAATTTGTAGGAAAACTGCATATTTCAGTGAAAACAATATGAGCTAGTAAAAGAGAATTTTCACAGATCCCAGCCCACAATGGCCGCCTTCCTCCATAGTAGTGGACAAGCCTTTCTTGTCTCTCTCTACCCCATACTAGATCCCACCCCATCACCCACTCAAGGGCATCACTGCAGCTAATCTCCCTCTACCTGCACCATCTTGTTCCCATCTCTGCTGGACCCTTCCCTCAGCCTACACACAGTGCTGTTTCTTCCACCCAAAGACTAAAAACCCTGTCTCCAGCCCAGCCACTGCCCATTCATTTCCTTCCCTTTTCAGCAAAACTTCTTGAAAGAATCGTCCACACTTACTGCCTCTAATTTTTCTTCTCAATTTTCTCTTCTAGTCTCTCTCAGCAGATTCTCACTTCCTTCCCTCTCTACTGATGGGGCCACCAATGACCTCTATGGTGCTGGACCTCACGGGCAATTCTGAGTCTTTCTCAGCCGTGCCTGTCAGCTGCGTCTGACACCACCCATCGATGGCTCCCTGCACTCTGAAACAAGTTTTTCACTTGGCTTTCAGAACACCACCCTAGCCATGTTTTCCTCCAATTCCTCTGGCTGCTCCTTATAACAGCGGGGGATCTCAAGGCTCAATCCTTGGTCCTCTTCTCTTTTCGATCTACCTTCCTCTCTTCCTAATCTCATCAGTCTCTTACCTTTCAAAGGGGATATCTTAATTATTTCTCCAGCCTGGGCCTCTCCCTGAGCTCTAGACTCATATCCAGCACCCAACCTGACATCTCCACCTGGATGTTTTGGCATCATCCTTGGCCCTTCTCTGTTCTCTGACAATGTACATCAGAACTTGTCAGCTCTGAACTCCTCAAAGAACCTGCCCACTTCTCCCCCTCCACAGCCCACGCCCTGGTCCTGCCACCTTCATCTCCTGCCAGAGCTCATAAAGGAGACTCTGCACTGCGTTCCAGCTTCCCCTCCTCCCCACTCTCTATTCTTCATAGGACCACCTGAGGGATTCTAATAAAACCCAAGCCAGATGACATAACTCCTCTCTCAAAACCCTCCTGTGGCTCTTGTATCATTTGGGGAAATGCAAAAGTACTTTAACACAAAAATATCTGCCATCATCCCTCCTCCATCACCTGTTGGACCCTGTCTTCCACCACTCTCTTCTTTGCTCACTCCAACTCCAGCCTCTTTGTGGTTCTGCGAATGATCCTGTCCCTGGGCCCTTGCATTTGCCATTTTCTCTTTCAGGAA